TTGGTAAACGTATTCTTTTTTAGTAATCTTCAGGAACAATAGCCACGTCAGTTTCACTCTTAATTTTCATAATCTGAATTCATCTCTTCTTTTATATACGCTTTCTTGAATTCTTTGTTATTAAATGATGTTAAAATTGTTTCTAATTTTATGTTTTTTCTTATTTTTTTAGATCATGTTAATCTTTACAATGGTTGTTTTATTTTTATGTTCCACTGTTTATTGTTGTTGTATGCGATAGATTGCAGTAATAAAAGAAAAATAAAAAAAAAATCTTTATTAAATTTATCACCCTTGAGGTTAAAAAAATTCTATATGTGTATATCATATTTATTATCTTACACAATTCTAAAATAATAAACAATTTTCATCTAAATACGGTTAACGATTTCTCGACAGCACATGAATAACCAAAAAATAAATATAAGCTATTTTACAACCAGAGATCTTATTGATCCTTTTTATTTTCAATGGCAGCTGGAGTTGGCTCATCAGCTTCAGCGGCATAACCAAATTCGTTTCTACGTTTTTTATCAACGGGGTAAATCCATCTTTGGTACAAGAAAATGAGGAAGATAATATCGTCACGGAAACATCCAATACGATACATTGTTGGCATTTTTATAACAAAAGCGAACATATCATCAATAAAAGTATTTAAAAATTTATAAGTTAACATCCTCCATGGAAGATGAGCAACCGATTTCAATTTATAATTGATAAATAACTGAGGCGTCATCATTATAAACCCAAAAGTTAATAAATACCCGTAAAATAAGCCCAGTACAAACGAGTACCAACCTTTATGTTCTAAATACAATAAAGCATAAACACTATATCCAGCTAATAAGGGAAAACAAACCCAAGAAAGGTATTTAAAAGCTAATTCATCATATTGTCTGGTACTGCTTTGAACATAAGAACTTTTATCATTAAATCTTAATCTCCCATTTTCGAATTTGATATCAACAACCTTTTGAATTTTCCACAATTCAATTCCTAACCCAACAAAACAACTAATACGAATCAAAGTGTTTGTTTCATTGTCCAAAACATACAACAAAACAATCAAAGATTGAAAAACTGAGAAAAATACAGATCTAACAGAAAGACCTTCGAGGGAATTTCTGTTATTCCAAAATTGGATGTCATTCTTAAACGCTAGCAATTCAAAAACGGAATGTAAAATTGAAACTAAAATAGTTATAACTAATAAATACGGATTCGTTTCTAGAAGGGTTTCTTTTAATGTATCTTGTTCGTCGTCGTTTTCTTCTTCCACATCACCAAAGAAATTCCATTTTTGTCTCATTTGTTGTGAGGCGTACAATTGGAATTTTAATAAACTAAGTGGTTGATAAATTACGTTTAACGAGTAAGTTTCGTTTAACGGTTTATAATCTTTGGCCATATTCCAGAAGTCGTTTGGATAAAGAGGTGGTTTATAATTTTTTCCATCATCAGTAAACTCATAGAAAGCGTCCAAAGGCATTGGAACTGTTCCCATGGTCCAAAATGTTTCATCTGTTATTAAATTTATTGTTAAATTTGGATGCCAATGGGATATTATTTGACCTTCAGATTCTAATTTTTCAGTTTCACCAGTTAACAAGTTTTTTGTTCCACTAGCTTTTAGTCTTTTGAATCTAAAACAAAAAAAAAATAGATGAAAACTAAGTTGTGAAATAGCAATGATAATGTAAAGTTAAATAATGATAACAATTTTTGAAATATTTCAACCTTGAGACAAATTACATATCTCTCCACCTATACATACAAAATACTTACTTATTTAACATTTTCCTAGCATAACAAAATTTATCTTTATCATAATTTTTATCTTTAGGATTGGCACTGTATCCAAAAGTAGTGACATAAATATGCGCGTAAAGTGAACCGTTATTCTTCATATGTTTAGTAACAGGAATTTCTTTTTCAAAAGAATAACTTCCATCCCCATTAACCCCTGAATACCAATCGCCGTACATTAGCATTTCTTTTGACCAAAACAAATTTGATTCTTGAAAATCAAAATGTCTCTCAGATTCGGTTAAATATATAAACATAGAAAGATCTGTGCCGTTTGTAAAAATGTTTCTAGCTGCTGTACGTGGAACGGACGTCCCGTTATTAACAGGAGCGGCAGGTTTTCGGAAAAATGAAGTGATGAAATAAATGATTAATCCTCTGACAATTAATGATTTTATGATGGCCATTACTGATTCCATCCTGGTGGGTTGGGGTGCTGCTTGGGGTTGTGCTGGCGACTGAAAAACGATTAAAATAATTTTAATTAAATGAATTAGACGTTTTTAATCGTAATTAATCAATGGAAGTTTCTTACATTTTCATTTTGATTTTGGGCGGGTGCGATTTCTTGGTTTTGACCGGATTGTCCACTTGCGGGCGCAGTCGTTGGATTTTCTTGTGCATTTTCACTCATTTTATTTAATAATTGTAAAGGAAAAAGCTCGGGAAACTCTAACCGCGTGACATTTGGACACGACAATCGTTTAACCCAGCAGGTTTTTAACTTGTCATTTGGTAAATTTTAGGTTAGATAACGTTTAGGTTGGTGCCCCTGGTGTTAACAGGTCAATAAAATTAAATTTATTTCATAATATAAAAATAAATAAATAATTTAAATTATACTTCACTTTTAAATTAACATATTAAATCAAAATACCTTACTCTTTACTTTATAATATACTGTTATAAAAAAAAATGTGATAGGCAACCAAATATACATCCACAACACAAAAGACAAAGTCAATAACTTGCTGGGGCTAATCTTCATCTAAATACAGTTTATTATCCTATTTAAATTATAAATTTACAACTAATTTTACTCATCTAACTCCAAGCTGAATCAGGAAAGAAGAACTATAAGAATTATTCAAAATATGAGTGGAACTGCTTGTTCAAGTTCCACTTCAGCCTCTTTTGATGGATTAACCTTAGAATTTGGACCATTAGAAACGGTTCACAGGTGGAAAAGACTTCCAGATTGTGCAGAATTTGTGGGAGCAAGGTTTAAAAATAAAATAACCTTAAGTTAACTCAAGTTTTTATTAAATTAATTCTAGACGTAGCAAACACACTGCAGTAGCTCATAATGAGGCAATTTATGTTTTTGGAGGTGATAATGGAAAAAGTATGTTAAATGATATGGTAAGGTATGACATAAAAGAGAAATCATGGGGTAGGGCTATTGTTAATGGAACCCCACCAGCCCCAAGATATCATCATTCTGCTGTTGTTCATAACACATCAATGTACCTTTTTGGGGGCTACACTGGGGATATACATTCTAATTCAAATTTAACTAATAAAAACGATCTATTTGAATACAAACTTGTTACTGGGCATTGGGTTGAATGGAAATTTACAGGGAGAACACCAGTTCCTAGATCAGCACATGGAGCTGCTGTTTTTGAAAATAAATTATGGATTTTTGCTGGATATGATGGTAATGCTAGATTAAATGATATGTGGACTATTTCTTTAGTGGTATGTAAAAGTTATTTATATTTATTGATACTTAAACTATTGTAATTTACCGAATTTTTGTTGTTTTGAGTATAGATGCAGAGAAACTTCCTTTTTTGATTTGGGAAGATGTAATTTTGGATAAAAAGGTTTGTTTTGATAGGAAGAATTGTGTGTGTTTATCAGTTTTAATGGGCGTAAAATATATGTGGAATGTGTTAAACCTTTGATTATAAAGGTATTAAAACTGAAATTTCACAGTTTTTAAATTTTCGTTTCAATATTATAGTATTTAGTAGCATATATATTTTCGATTTAAAATAAATGACTTTAATATAATATTTATTCATATAAAAATACAAATATAGGTAATTACATCAATGGCAGCATTGGCTTTGAAATGCCTTTTGACTTATAACTTGTTAAATTATGTATTATTAAAGAAAAATTGTGTTATTAATTATGCATTATAACTTGTTGTTTTAAGTTTCAAGCACGACTCTAGATTTTTATTTGTTAGTTGACTTCTAACATTACTTTTTATTTATATTCATGCAAGAGAACGCTTGTTCACACGAATATATCGATCCGAAGATCGTCGTATGCCAATTTCTTCACCTCACTGCAGCATTCTGGAAGCCTTTTCCATGCGCCCAATTTGAGGGCCTCAACTCGCGGGATTTCTTTTCGAGCTGTTCATTTGTGCTGCGCGTTGTCCATGCTTTTCTGGACTTCCAACTTTTCCAATTTGCTCTTGAGTTCTGCAAACTTTCCACTCCACAAGTCTTTAGTTTTCAATTCTAGCAATTGCATTTGAAGCTATCCAGCATCAATTCCAAATGGCTTAATATTGATCTTATTTGTATTTGTGTTGAGAGGATTTACTAAGAACGCGAGAGTACTTTTGTTTGTTTTAAATTGCTCAAATATTATTGTGATATTGTGAAGGAACTGCATCTGGAGATGCGTAATATGAGTGCAAGCTACAATACTTTGGTAGACTCGGTCGAGTTTTGCAGCCAAAGGGTCTTTGATTTCGAGGCATCCATGAAGCAAGTGCAGGAGCAGCTGAAGATGATCGATAGGCTGAATGCCGAAATTCTGAGGAAGCAGGTGGTATCGGGGTGCGTGGCGGATTTAGAGCAATATTCCCGCAACCTTGAGATCCGAGGAGTTCCTGAGAGGGACAATGAGAACTTGGTTGCGATGGTCGAGACTATGGGTACCTTCCTTGACGTGCCGATTTCGGCTGCTAAAGCACAAAGCAAAACGTCGCCTTTTATTGTACAGAAGTAGGTCAAAAAACTGGCTATCTATTTCTTCAAGGAAATCTTTAAACTGGCGATGGTAGAGTGTTTTTGCCAAGATGCTGTTTATAAACTTAATTACCAAGTTCATGAACTTAACTATTTGGGCACAAAGTGCTTCTTGATTAATTATGCAGTGAAACCCCTCCATGTATTCCTGTCATACTTCTGGCTCCATTAGTTGCTATATTTGTACAACATTTATTGTATCTTCACCACGAGTTTGCCTTGAGAGCGGTAGTAATCCTAGCAGTTCTTTTTTTGGACCTTAGGACAACTTATACCTGCGAAAAGAGTAACTTGTGCCGTGTCTTTTATGTCACAAGACTCATCTATAGCAAGTGATAAGGTAGAAGGCAGTTGAATGTCTTCCACTTGAATATTTGTTACATTTGAAGACATTTTAGCAGTTCTGTCTTGTACTGTTTTAGCAGATAATGGCAAATCTTTGATTTTTTTTGTTTTCCTCCTTTTACAATTTATTTCTAATGATACTGCAAAGCTTGCCAGATTTACATTATTGGAAGATTGCTCCCAGTTACTTAGCTTGGAACCTGACCGTTGTTGTTTTTCACAGCTTTTTTTTCGTGCGTCATCGGTTGGAATTGAACTCAACATCCATATAGAAATTGGATTAAGAAAGAAACAATTCTATACTGATTGTTTTGCGCCTCATTGATGCATAACGATGCAAGAGTAAAATGAAGTTTCTCTGTTGTATACTGTATCAAAAAACAATCAAATATGACGATTCTAAAAATAAATTTATCATTGCTTATAATTCTGTGTTACCATTAAAGCGTCACTTTTTGATTTTGATCTGTATTTTTTCAAGGGTGATAATAGGGTTTGGGAAGAAATAGAACAAAAAGGTGAACGCCCTCCAACTTGTTGCAATTTTCCAGTAGCTGTAGCAAGAGATTGTATGTTTGTATTTAGTGGGCAAAGTGGCGCAAAAATTACAAATTCACTCTTTCAATTTCACTTTAAAACAAAAACGTGAGATATTCTAATAAAATTTATTTATTGCAAATGTATATAATGTTTTCCTTTTAAATTTAGTTGGACTCGAATTTCAACTGAACATATTTTGAGGGGAGCACCACCACCTCCAGCTCGTCGATATGGTCACACAATGGTAGCGTTTGATAGGCATTTATATGTTTTTGGTGGTGCTGCTGATAGTACTCTTTCAAATGATTTGCATTGTTTTGATTTGGACACACAAACTTGGTCGATAGTTCTTCCTTCGCTGGAATCAATCGTTCCATCCGGTAGATTATTTCATGCCGCTGCCGTAGTAGGAAACGCAATGTATATTTTTGGAGGAACTATCGATAACAACGTAAGAAGTTGCGAAATGTATAGATTCCAATTCTCAAGTTATCCCAAATGTACTCTACACGATGATTTTGGAAAAATACTCGAATCGAGATTATTTAGTGACGTACAATTTGTTGTTGGAACTGATGAAGTTAAGATATTAGCTCATTTACCAATGGTAGCGGCTAGATCTCAATATTTAAGAAATAAAGTAAGAAAAGCTAAAGAAAATCACGGTAAATATAATAAAGATGAAGTTTTACCCACGGTTATTGTACCCTTATTGGATGCAAATCCAGAAGCTTTCGAAATGGTTTTAGATTATATTTATATGGATTGTATAGATCCTATTAAAAAAGCTAAACCAGGCGAAGATCCTTTTAGTAACAGAATCGTTTTATTGATGATGGATGTTTATCGTTTGGCGGTTAAATTCAAAATGACCCGTTTAGAATTTCTTTGCGTTCAATATTTAAACGCTACAATCTGTTTAAAAAATGTTTTAGTAGCTCTACATAACGCTGATAGTCTAAATTTAGATTTTATTAAAGAATATTGTTTAAGATTTATCGTTAAAGACTCGAATTATAATCAAATCGTTATGAGCGATGAATTTGAAACTTTAGATAGAAAATTAATGGTAGAAATTGTGCGACGTAAACAATTACCACAAGCAAAAAATTGCAACGAGCCACATTTTGACACCACTGGGTCATCTTTAGAGCAAGATATGGCGATGTTTTTGAGATCAACAGGAAAAGAATTTTGCGATATTAATTTAGTTTTGGATAATCACGTCATTCCAGCTCATAAATGTATCTTAGCAGCACGTTGTGGATATTTTGAAGCTATGTTTAGATCGTTTATGCCAGCAGATAACACCGTTAAAGTATGTATTAATTTATGTTTTGGTTACTAATCTATCATTTTTGAATGTACGTTTTAGATTCAAATTGGAGAAATGACCCCTTCTGTGGAATCTTTTAATTCATTGCTTCGTTTTATTTATTATAGCGACGTAAACATGCCACCAGAAGACTCACTTTATCTTTTCTCAGCACCGTTATTCTATAATTTCACCAATAATCGACTTCAAGCTTTCTGCAAACAAAATTTGGAGATGAACGTAAACGTTGATAATATGATACAACTTTTTGAAGCTGCCCATAAAATGCAAACGACCGATATTAAATCATACGCGAAGAGTTTAATTGTTCTAAATATAACGAAAATCGCAAAATTAGAACAATTAAAATCGTTAAGTCGGGAATTATTGTTGGAAATTTTATTGGCTGTTGCTAATGATTTGGAACAACCCAAGATCTGCCAGGACCTTTCATCGATAAGCCTGAACAGCGAGTCTTGAATCTCGGACCATCGTGGAAATGAAGTTCTGGCAGATGCCTATAAAATACTCGTTATTTCTTCTAATAAAATTTTCGTCAATACTATTATTAGGAGCACTATGTAGAAATAGTTGGATAAATGATGTAAATAGGTGGCAATATCTGTGATGATTTTTTAAAATCTTTATCTCTTGAAATGTTGAGATTACTTCCAAGAAATATGATGATGTACTCTTAATGTTATAATATTTAATGTTGGTGTTTTAAGATATAAATATATTTAATAAAACAATTTCTAAAATTCAAATTTTTTTTGTAACCTTCGCAAAAAATAGTTGCGTAATCTTCTAATTAATGTAATTTATAACATAGTTATAAAAAATGTTAGATTATAACCAGTTTTAATAAATTATTGTAATTGTTGATGCAATTTTTTTTTTAATTTTTGCCGTCACTCTTGCAGTTTTAGACTTTAATTAAACAATCAATCATCTTGTTTATGCAAGGTTAATAAGAAACGGCTATTAATAGATAAATCATTGCTTTACGGCGTTTTTATTATTATTCATTAAATTTGGTTAAAGTCGTTAGAGCAAAGAACTCGATAAAAGTAATGATATATGCAGGAATGTTGAAATTATTTTGTTTTTAAGAGAGATACTAGAATCAATCGTGTATTAGATGTTTATAAACTCCACAACTAAACAAGTGTTTTGTTTAAATTTTCGTCTATATACATAAAGACGCATATGTTTTTTTGAGTTAACTGTTAATAAATAATTCTTTCATAATAGTAAAACATGTTTGTTGAGTTGATAATAAAAGTACAGCTGTAAATTAAAATAAACTCTTTTTTTTTAAATCTTATTGCAAAATTAGCTCGTTATATAATATGTTTACATTTTTTGAAACTCTTTTAGTACTCAACAGCAAAGGTAATTTTCATATCCTTAAGATTGTTTTTCTAAGTTTCCTTTAATTTCCTAAAAGACCCAAGAATGATTTAATATGGGAATCGGATTTCAGATTGGATATTACTCCCGTTTTTGCAATTAAGTGTTTAAGTTTTACCTTTATCTTGAGTTATCTACGAGTTTTCGCCATAGCCATGGAGGAATCTTTTATCGACACTCTAATAAAGGTGATTCCACGTGGAAGGTGATTAAAAGCTGTGGATCTAGATATTGCCAATTAATTCCACAAAGTTTTTGTTCATTGTATTCTTACTTATTTGGTCCAATTTAAGTTTTCTTCCTTATGCCCTATAAAAATAATAAAAAAGCTTCACTTAACTACATTTTTCATCACATTATCACTTCATTAATGGAAGATGTTCGTGATTCGCTTTCTCCCCAGAGAAATAGGAGATAGGGAACTTTTTAGAATTAGCGCTAAGATGCAACCAAATTAATTTTATTTTCACAGCATATGTAAAATTTCTTTGCTGCATTAACATCTAGATCGAAAATTTTGTGGGATTGCACCAAAAGAAGATGTGGTTTAGCCCTCAAAATCGTAACCAACATCGTCCAGGATATTTCTAACTATCATGCTCAATATTTGTTGGTATTATTCTTATCCAATATCGTTACTGCTTTCTTCAACATCTTCTCCTTCATTTATCAAGATCCTTCTGAGATCTTTAAATGCTGTTCCAGATACCTTTCCAGATTATCCCAGATAATGTACTTGCAATTCGTCTCTGACTCTCGTTTATGGCATTATAATCGTTCCTGGTATTTTTTAATACTCGTATGGACGTAATCCAAAATAATCCCTGACATACAGTCCTCAATATTGCCCTGACGCCTTGATATCCTTGAAAATCGTTATTAACTTCTTTAACATCGTTTATGGTATTCAATCCAGGCCTCATCAATATTTTCTTCATTGTCGTACATGATATCACAAACAGTAGGTATCCTGTTTTCTTTCAGTATATTCCTAATATCTCTTAACATCATCCCTAGTCCCTCGTAATTCCCAATATCGTCATAGATTTTCTTAAAATTTTTTTCAGGAGTCATGAAATATTTATTAACATAATAAAAAAATGAACTTTAATTGTTGTTGATGATATTTATTAACATTGTACATGATATTCTGCAACATTGTTGCTGGGTTTGATTAAAATCGTTTATGGCATCCCTGACATCTGTCAACACTACCTATCTACTCCATGGGATCATTAACATCGTCCTTGATATTTCTCAACATCGTTTCTTATTCTCCAATACCTACATTGGCGCTTTTCCACATTGTTTATGGCATCCCTGTATATTTTGCATAATTCCACCATAAAGCATGACCGAACCCAACAAAATCCCTAACATATTTCATTGTTATTCTGACTTTTCTCAGCATCAACATTCTCAATAACGAAATCATTGTTATTAATTTCTTTCAAAATCATCTGTGATATCTCAACATCATTCCTGAAACACTGGTATCATCCCTGAGCTTACTCAATATCGTCTATGGCATCAAAATCGTCGCTCAGATAACTCAGCACAGTCCTGGCTCCCCTCAGTATACTCAATATCGTCCTTGATATCAGAGATGTCAGGGATACATCTCTCATTGTTATTCTGACCTTCCTCAGCATCTTCTCCGTTATCATCAAAATTCTTAATAACAAACCCACTGTCATTAATTACTTTCAATAGCATCCGTGATATCTCAACGTCATTCCTAAAATCCTAGTATCCCTGAGCTTTCTCAATATCGTCCATGGCATCAAAATTGTCGTTCAGATAACTCAGCACAGTCCTGGCTCCCCTCAGTATACTCAATATCGTCCTTGATATCTCTCGTTATCATGTTATCATCTTTCAATATCGTCCCTGGTCATGTCTTACTTTGCCTTTATCTCTCCACATTGTCCCTGATGTTCTCGAAACATATCCCAGACTTTCTACAGCATTGTTTATGGCATCAAAATCGTTCCAGACATATTTCAACATAATCTCTAACATCTCTCAAATCTGAACTATTCTCTCATAACATCTTTCTCGTTATCAATCAACGTCGTCCATGATATTATAAAACGTCGTACTTGATATATCTCAACATTGATTCTGCTATTCTCCAACACAGTGTTGGCGCTTCTCCACATCGTTTATGGCATCCCTGTACAATGTGCATAATTCCAGCAAAAAATCCTAACAGAACACAAAAAAATCCCTGATATCCTCATTGTTATTCTGACCTTCTTCAGCATCTTCTCCGTTATCATCAACATTCTTAATAACGAAACCATTGACATTAATTTCTTTCAATAGCATCCGTGATATCTCAAAGTCATTCCTAAAACCCTGGTATCTCTGAGCTTACTTAATATCGTCCCTCAGATATCTCAGCACAATCCTGGCTTCTCTCAGTATCCTCAATATCGTCCTTGATATCTCTTGTTTTTTATGAACTTCCTAAATGTACTTTGTTTCAATCAAAATATTATTCAAGTCGTATTATAAACAAAATATTATCCTATTTATAAATCTAAAATAATTTTAAAATTTTATCTACTATGTGTTTATTACTTTAATATACTTAAGGTAATGTCATTAGCAACCAATTAAATTTTCAACATCGTCTATGACATCAAAATCGTCCCCCAGATATCTCAGCATAGTCCTGGCTTCCCTCAATATCTTCCTTGATATATTTCGTTATTATGTTGTCATCTTTCCACATCGTCCCTAGTCCTGTCTTACTTTGTCTTTATCTCTCCACATTGTCCTTGATGTTCTCGAAACATGTCCCAGACTTTCTACAGCAATGTTTATGGCATCAAAATCGTTCCAGACATATTTCAACATAATCTCTAACATATCTCAAATCTGAACTATTCTCTCGTAACATCTTTCTCGTTATCAATCAACGTCGTCCATGGTATCATAAAACGTAGTCCTTGATATATCTCAACATTGATTCTGCTATTCTCCAACACAGTGTTGGCGCTTCTCCACATCGTTTATGGCATCCCTGTACAATGTGCATAATTCCACCAAAAAATCCTAACAGAACACAAAAAAATCCCTGATATCCTCATTGTTATTCTGACCTTCTTCAGCATCTTCTCCGTTATCATCAACATTCTTAATAACGAAACCATTGTCATTAATTTCTTTCAATAGCATCCGTGATATCTCAACGTCATTCCTAAAATCCTAGTATCCCTGAACTTACTCAGTATCGTCCCCCAGATATCTCAGCACAGCCCCGGCTTCTCTCAGTATCCTCAATATCATCCTTGATATCTCTCGTGTCCAACATGTCCCAGACTTTCCACAGTATTGTTTGTTTGGCATCAAAATCGTTCCTAACATAATATATCAAGATCATCCTTGGTGTTCTAAATATACTCCCAACATCAGTTGTGATATCTCGTAGCATCCTCGAATATCGTCACTGGTACGATCAATATCGTTTATGGGATCAGAAATAACTCTGATATATCTCCTCTAATTGTCCAAATGTGCATCAACCCCACTTGAAAAATGCAACGTTTTCTCCATAGCATAGCATAATGTTTGTCATAGCATCTGAAATTTCGAAATATGTACTTACATTATTAAGGAGGAGGATTATACAGGAGATAGAAAAATGGAGTCTAATGGTGGTTATAGTCATATTCATTCCATTAATAACGTTCTTGGCACAAATGAAATTAACAAGATGCTGCAAATATTTCTTTGCCATATATATTGTTCCAAACTAATCAGTTTGGTTTTTTCAGGTAGTAATTTGTGAAATAGACATATAAGAAGGAATTAGTGCATGGCAGAATTTCTTAACGTTTCGTAGATTTCAAATAAAGTATGACAAAGATTTTCTTAATATTTTAATGAAAATTCTTGAAAATTAAGGCAAACTTTATTCTTTTTCTATTTCAGTTTAACACATGTTTTTCTATAACGGTTTTTATTGTTGTTGTTGTTGTTTCGGTAGATAATATTTGAAGCATCCTGTTATTTTTGCAACTAATCCAAAAGTCATGTTATCACTTTATAATTAATTAATTTACAATTCAAATGGTTTCATAAAAACGGTATAATGCGTCATATAATGAAATGAACATTTCAAGGCGTTCCACTTGCAATTTCTTTGTTAAGTTATGCATTTTTTCAAAATTTTACTATCTTTGACAAATGATGCTTCTTTTACGATCTGTTTGTGTATCTGATAAATACCTATTGCGTTATTTTTGAAGTCAACACTTATATATACGAGCCAAGGAGCCAAGGTACTTGACCTTTTTTGCAATCTACATACAATCGAAGATCCTGGCTTTGTATTTTTAAACTTTTTTTTTAACTTTATTTTATATTTTCATTAATATCGAAAGTAGTTTTTTAAAAAATTATTATTAACATAAAATTTATGACACGTTTAAAATTGATGACTTATATTTAATTTAACACAATTTTTGATTTTAATAACATAAACGATATCAATGAGTATCACGTATATCATTGGAATTTTGTCATATTAACAACTATTTGACGTAAAATGAGAAGGAGGTGGGATGAGGATGGTCTCATGAAGACCTTCCTCGTCCCTCGAAACGGCAAGTTGTTAAACCGGGTTACTTTTGATAAAAGCGAACTCGAATGCTGGACATTATTAAAATCGTCATACTGGTGGGGCGGTCAAGAAATTTTAAATACTTCTGCTCTGATATATCTCGTATTGTGTATAGTGCGGGTTCAGTAAGATAATCAAAACAAATAAGCGCACTACTCCACTACAACTCCGCGATCGATTACTTTGACTTAAAACTTAAACGATAAAGAACTTAAAGTGAAGTAATAAAAATGTGTGAAATAATATCCTCAAAGTGCTTAACTACCGTACAAGAAAGGGTTAACATTGAGTTTGATGGAATCTGTTATAATGCAAAACAAAATAAAGGTAAAGAAATTTTTTTAATAAATAAATCTTAATACAAAGAAGTCTTACTGTTCAACCTTGAGGATAACTTGTAAATCTGAAAGCAAGAATTGCTTCACAAGAAAGAGTTTTATGAATTAAACTTTCTGTTGCCAAAATGTGCCTCGTTAAACCTTAAGCAATGTGGCCTAAAATACCTGATATTATTTAATTGGAATTCTGATAAAATGCAATATCAAGTTATTTGAAATTTTTATCACAATCTATCTTTGTTTTATTCTAGATCAAGTACAAAACTCAAAGAGATAATAAGTAGACACAAGTCTTGTATACTAATAATGATGTTTAAATTATCATTTAGGAATGTTTTGGGCTTTTTTAATTTACCTTGAATGTAATTAAAATGGGAAAGTTTTCAAAACAAATTAGTAAAACGTGATAAAATCAACAAATATAATCCGGTTTTTAAAATAATACATTTTTTATGAAGAAAATGTGATAATATCATTTTTAACAACTTATCAAATTAATTTTATTTTTATGATCTTCCTAAAGCATTTAACAATCAATGGAATCTCTTTAATAATGCTTATTTGCGTAACACTGTAAATATGTTAACTGGTTATAAATGTACTTTATTTCAATCAACATATTATTCAAGTCGTATTATAAACAAAATATTATTCTATTCAAAAATAAAATTTAAACTTTTATCTACTATGTGTTTAATGTTTTAGTATAGTTAAGGTAACGTTATTAGCAACCAATTAAGTTGCTTTAAACCTGATTGATAAGATGAAGGATATAGAATGTTTAAAAACTCTAAATTTTAGATGAATGTGATGCAGTGAGTAACTCAAGATGAGATTACTTAAACAAATACATATAAAAAATAATTTGTATTTGTAAATAAATATTTTTATTGTTTATGTATAGGCCGATATTGTTTTTGTAATTTTCCAGGAATAAAAACAATATTTTTAAATTAATAAAAGTATTCTTCCAACATTTCTCCAACAACAACAAGTTATGAAAGATTTTAGATAAAGAAATTGTGAATGTTTTTTCAATATATTAGAATAAAATGAATACTTTGATCCGGAGTAGTTATAATAAAAAATGAGGTTACCGCGAGTTAAAATATTCGGGTCCTATAAAAAAGGAGTTCTTAAGGTCATAAACAACTTTAGTTTTTTTTAAGTTTTGTTATTCTTATTGTTATAAATCTCCACAACTTTTAAACTGGTTTATGTCCTCTGTTTTAATTTATTTAAAATTAAGAATCATTTATCAAAATGGTAACCTTTACGAAATAGAACACTTCTCGAACTCGATCTCATTGTCAACTTAACAAAATCTCATCGTCAATCGGCACTTAACCTTCTCCGTTTTAATCCGGAGAGATTACATTTTACGAATTGTCTACATCCAAATACACCACAAGTTGCAAGGGCATTAGCAACATGAATATAAGATTCATATTTCTTGCACACGATATATGAAAACAAAGGCGTGTTGCTATATAAATTGATTTATCAATAATAATAAATTAATTATTTATGAATTTTGAAAAAATTTGGTGGTCTGAATAGTGTTTTTGATAAAATTCATCAAAATACGACTCTTTTGACCTCACATAACAAAACACATTCACTTATGGACAAAAACCTGCTTGCAAAATCAACAAGCAAAAGTGCACAAACACATAAAATCACCTTTTAGCAAAATTCCGATACCTAAATTAAGATTTGACCGTATTCACACTGATTTGGTCGGTTTTCTCACTCTGTCCCTTTTCTTATCTCTATCTCTACAATTAAACGTTCCACGCGTTAGCCGGGAACCGTTCTTCTCAACGATATCACTTCTGCTACCATTGCGGATACTCTCTTTCATACTACTTCATTTCAAGCAGTCTCCAATTCATGATCAGAAACGACAATTTGAATCAAAATTCTTTTCACACTCTTTTAGGGACGCGTTAAATTTACACATCCTTCCATCACCAAAGCAACTGAATGTTCAACTGACTTGATTTCTTTATACATAATTGCTTCTCAAAAATGACTAATCACAAGATTTGATATTGTTTCTTTCTTGTTTCAAGTTATCATTAAGATAACGTTCTTTCCATAATGATTATTCTTAATCTTCCTGAAATTCGTCAATATCAACTTGTTCATCAAATAATCAAAGTTCGATGATTAATTAAAACTCGTGAACAGATTTAACATAAAAATAAAACATAAAGTTCATCAAATAAAATGTTTAATCATTACCATTTAAAAATTGTAATCTTAGGATAAAACTGCATAGAAAGTAATAATGTTTTTGCGTCTTTTCCCACAATCGCTAATTTTTCAGAATTGGATAACCTTCTGACACATAATACTGACGACAAGAAATCATTTTTCGCTAGAATAAAACTTTCAAAAAGATAGTAATAATTATTATTAGAAATTAGTTTGTAAACTTGAATCTAATAGATTATTTAATACAACCATTTCTACCAATCCTTTTTGTTCAAAATATTTTGAGTAAAATTTTGTTATAATAAATTTGAGTTCTTCATATCTGTAAAAACACACGTGTTTATTTTTAACATAGAATAGACAGTTTATCGCAATTTGATTGAATCCAGTATATATTAACTTAAAAAACACGTGAGTATAAAAAATTTTGCGTTCTTATCCTATGATTAACTGCTTTAAAAAGTTTCCGTTCTCCAATTGACTACGTTTTGGCAATCTAATTTGAGTTAAGATCATACCGCATCAATAATGATAATCATTAACAACTTTTTAGGATTCATTCTATTATATTACATTACACTACTCTGCATTTGATACAATTAACAGCAGGGTAGTGGCATAAAACATGCTCAACCTGCTAGGCCCAACAAGTTGATGTGTGTCTTTAATTGGTAGTGTTTACAGTAAAGACACCCATTAGAACTATAATGCTGCTACGACCAAGTCATGTTCTTCATCCTTTTCTCAAGAAGGATTTTAGCACCCATGTCACTAGCGAATACTTCCGCCTGGAATACAGTATAGTAGGTACCTAGGCTGTAAGCTTGCTTAATCCAAAGCGTCTGGCAGTATACTCCAGCCCCGACCCCTTTCAGCTTTTTTGATCCATCTGTGAACATGGAAATATCTGCCTGAACCAAAGAATTTTCGTTTTCGATTCAGGACTGCCGTTCAGGCAATACAATCTGGTATCGAGCATTAATCACTGGTAGTGATCCCGTGCCACTCTAGCTACTTGTTGAATTCTCTGATAACTGAAGTCTGTCGGGCAAGGCATCATAAGTCTGACCAGTCACATAGAACCAGTACAGTCTTTCAGGGGAAAGACCCCAATTTTTTCCACAAAGATAATCTAGCTTTGTGTAAAACTTCCTGCAAATATCCATTTCATAAGAAGTTTTGTCTAGGATTACTTCTAGATGTTTGGCTTCCTTTGAGAAAGAAATTCTTCACCTTGGACTTTATTATATGCAAGTTCTGATATTTATTTCAGATAATTTAAATTATTAACTATGTTTGTTTCTGTAAAAAAATCAAATTGATTTTTAATAACACTTAATTTAATGCAAATTGTATATTTTTTATCAAAATATATTAAATTGTTTTCGAACCAACCTTTTAATTGGATTCCTCAACAAAATGTGATTAAAAATTCGTTAGAACATGACAAAATAATTGGTCATTGTTTTTAAATTTTAATTTGGATTAATTTTAATAGAACAATTTTTCAATAATTAACTTGCATCACAAAGAAAGGAAAGAGTGTTAAAACGTTATACCAAGGATTTTCCTTTTTATAAACTGGGCAATTACCCAAGGTTACCTTGAATCTACCTTTGTTGAAAAAGTACTAATACAATTAATTTATGCAGAAAAGCAACAAATATAGTAAATCGATTTAGCCTTGGCATTGTGCATTAATTCTTTTATATAATTTTAAAGGTTAACATTTTTTTATTTAGGTGAAATGAATTTTGATGTTAAAGTGCAATGAACCACAACTTTTATTTAAACTTTTTTTAAACAAAATTTTGATAAATTACCGAGAATAAAAAGAATTATTTATTATTATAGAATGTTCCGTCACGATCAATAAAATTAGTGCAGACTTATAGTATCTATCGCGCGTCCTAGCATTGAACCACGACAGTGTTCTTTGATAAGATCGTCACAGTTTCATTTTCTTATTTTTAATTCTGTGCAGTAAGCGATAAGGAATTGAATGTTTACGAGAATGATCACTTTTAAATAACCAAAACAGATGGCTATATGATTACACTAAATTAATAACTAAATAATGGTTGTTTTTAATTAAATTAATAATAGTTAACAACTAAACAATTTTTATGGCATTAATATATCTTTTTCAGTTCGAAAACAAATCTTGTCTAATTTGACCGGTTCTTTCAAATTTGGCGAAATGACAGCAATTATGGGACCATCCGGTGCTGGAAAATCAACTTTATTAAACATTTTAACTGGATACCAGTGAGTATTAATAACACGTCTAAATTGTTGCAATACATCATTTTATACTGTCGGAAGTTAATATAATTGGAAAAATGTTGTTACTTAATTGAGTACGATTAATAATTAAAAGTTTCTTTTTAATGAAACTATGAAAACCGGAAATTTGCGTGTTACCATATTAAAGTGTCATCAATTTGTTTGGTCATCTTAAGGCCACATCCTTTTTAAACTGAACAATCTTGACAAAGAATTAACAAAAAGAACTATGATGTGAAATAAAATCTTTAAATAATTTGTTAACAAAAAATATAACGGTACTTTGCATTAAAACAATTCTTTCTTTATTACTAAGCAAATCCACTCACAACCAGAATAATATTCGAGTCTATGCTAATAATTGGAGACTATTGTTTATTGTTGGTCTTACGCATTTGAAACATTTTATTATCATCATCATCCGTGACGCTACAACCCTCTTCTTTATTACGTGCTATCTTCCATCCACTATATCCAAGCTTGGCCGTATCCTCTGTTATCTCGTCCTCCCACCTTAGATTAGGCCTTTATATGCATCTATTAGATCTGCTAGACGATTTTCATAGGGACGTATAAGGATGGAACATGGTAACGCAGATACATGATATCTAGTAGATATCAGGTTTTTCCTGCCGAAGATGAGCAGAAAGTTGCTAGTTGTCCATGTCTTCTCCATGTCTCAGGGTTTTGAAAATTATTAAGATTTAAGACTGAAGAGTTGTTTGTGCCACGCATTGTAGCATTTGCGACTTGTCCTCTCACTTTTGCGCTACAGTTATTCTTCGAATTCGTGCTGAAGTCAGAATACGTAAAACCCCACACCATTTCGAAATTCAAAATGATACACATAGAGGTGGTTACTGGCATGACTTTTCTTTTTTATTCATTTATTTGTGTGCTATATAAGTTCAAGTCAGTTGAACCCTTCCGTATTGGTAGTTGCCAGGTTACTTATTATTTCTTAGCATTTAAAGGTCTTCTTCTATCTCTTCTTCCTGTTCCTAGTCATTTACTCATCTCCGATTCTTCGCAGCCATGTCAGCGTCTTCACTCGCGTTAAGGCACTGATCAAAATTCTGAGTATATCTGTTTAATATTAAGTTTTGGTTCCACACAAAATCAATCTAATCCTTCCACAATGTATTTAAAACAATGCAGGCTCGAGCAAAGACTGTTTTGATGACTTTCATGCAACTTATTAAAAAGCAACCTCAGTCTCCTTTGCTCTGTTATGAAATTTTTAGCTCTTTTTACTTATTCACACGTCTATTCCAATTTTGTGTAAATATAAATATCCATACTCAACTTCAACGAATTCAATTAACGTTGTTGAAAGCAAAAGTACCAATAAGGTTATCTTTAATTTTGCATTAAAAATCATCATATAGGAATCATCTTATAGGAACCTATCAAGTTATCTTTTTTTGTCAAGTTATCTGCTGTTACATGTATTACATAGTACTCGATTAGCATTGTACACGCAATATAACTTACACTTTGCTTCTGGAGTAACATCGCGAGTGTAGTGTATTATTTTTGTGTATATGGAACAATAAAGCTCAAAGTCTCACATCAAACCAGACTCTCCAAACATTTTATGTGAGCCAATTGTCGACTGAAAATAATATCTTATTTTCATCAAAAGAGAAGGAAAAGACTTGGATTTTGTTGGGTATCAATATTGCAATTTTGATTTAAGAGTTGTATCTCTTCTGATAGAAAGTGGTCTGCTAGCGTCTTCAGTTAGATTTCGCAAATTCAACTTGATCATGCAGATAATTAAATTATTCGGTGAACTTCACTTAAAATGTAATATACAAAGATATATTTCCATAGAAACCAGGGCGTACCTACTTACTTTGTCCCACATAAAATGCAACATCTCTGAATGTTTCTAGTTGTAGGTCTAGGTTCTAGTTACAGTGGTCCGTAGCGCTAGTTAATATAAGATATCACTATGTTGCATATTTTAATTGAACTAAAACTAGAACTAACACTAGACCTAGAACTAAAAACATTCGGGTTTAGCCAAGCATCTTCAGACATTTTCTAGTTCTAGATCTAGTGTTAGTTCTACTTGTACACTCGCATTATCACTAGAACTAACACAAGACTTAGAACTAGAATCATTCGGATTTAGCCGTCTTGAGAGACGTGCGGCTAAACCCGAATGATTCTAGTTCTAGGTCTTGTATTAGTTCTAGTGATAGTGCTAGTGTAAAACTGCAAATCTCTCAAGATGGCTAAACCCGAATGATTCTAGTTCTAGGTCTTGTGTTAGTTCTAGTGATAGTGCTAGTGTAAAACTAGAACTAGCACTAGACTTAGAACTACGAACATTCGGATTTAGGTCTTTAGAGACGTGCTGTTTGATTGGGTTATCAATTTAACAGCCTTGTTAAAGACTTTTATGGCAATAAGCTCAGATTTACCTCAAAAGTGTACAATTTTAAGCCAAAATTTTAAAGTTATGGTGACAGGGTAAAACTATTGAATTTATTTTTGGATTCATCATCAAAAATTAGTCTCAAATAACTGTTAATAATGAAATTTGTCTTTCCCAGTAAACCTAGTCCAGTTTGAATTGTATTTTTTGTTCGATAATAACCTTGAATAACTATTCACCTCTTATTAGAATAACAAGAATTTCCTATCATTGCGTAAAATAATGAAACATGAAAAGTCAATTATAGATCATTTCGTGTAATTGTACTAAAGTATTACTCCAATTAAAATTAATTTTTGGTTGTTAACTTATTAACATGAACTATTTTTCATAATTTTTAAGGTCTTCCAGGAAAGGTTAAATCATTTAATTTTTTTTTTGTATAATTATGAAATAATTTGTTATAATTTAGAATTTTCTTATAGAAGAAAAGGAGTGATTGGTGGTATTAGAAAAGTATCTTGCTACACAAATGCGATAATAACGGACAAGTTAAGAAAAAATTCCTGTTACATTATGCAGGACGACCGCTTAAACCCATTGTTCACAGTTTGGGAGATAATGTCCATTGCTGCTGATCTTAAAAGAGGGCGAAATTTAACCAAAAAATCCAAAGAAAATTTAGTAAGTGTTGTTCTTTTTAGAATAAAATTTGCTTCATCATCTTTTTATTTAGATTGACGAAATCTTAACTTCTTTGGCTTTAACAACATGTAAAAATACAAGATGTGGAATGTTATCGGGCGGACAAAAGAAAAGACTTTCGATTGCTTTGGAATTAATTGACAATCCACCAGTTATGTTTTTAGATGAACCAACAACGTAAGTTAATTAATTCGTTAAATTTAACACTTAGTTACGATGAAAACTCGAAATTACTAACGAAATTGACTACCACGTGCACATTACATAATTCATTACATGTCTGGAAGTAATTTTTAGAAATAATCGCATGCACGGATGCGTTACTACATAATTCGTCGATTGATATCCGCAAAAAGCGCTCTTGACATTGATCTTAGAAGGTCATCATAGTTGTAACTTTTTTTTTATTTTTTAAAATATTATTTTAAGATTTTGTTTATTATTTTTTTAAGAAAAGTCTTTCAAAACTAGCACAAGATTATTAATATTTCCAAAGAACCAGACGCTTTGCGTAAAGATGTACACAAATGCAAAAACCTTGACATATTTCCCAAGATATCATTATTATAATGATTTTGAAATGATAAATACATATCTATGTCGGTGTATTTGTATTCCGATCTTGTAAACGTTACCCTCGGCGAGTTAAACACTTTTAAAAGCGCCAAAAAATGCGTCGCTTGCAGCCGGTTTCTTGCCGTCTCAGGTCATTTCACTTTCGACATCTTGAACGTGACCTCCGAAGGTTTACTTTAACCGAAGACTTTCAAAAGAAAAATTTATAATTACATAATTTTTTGAATTTAATTTATTTTTGAGTTTATTTTTTAATATTTTTTTGTTGTAATTATCTTAGAGGATTGGATAGTCTTTCAACGTACCAATGCATTTCAATTTTGAGAAATTTGGCCAAAGCTGGACGGACGATTATTTGTACAATTCATCAACCGAGCGCGACGATTTTCGAAATGTTCGATCAAATTTATGTTTTGGCGAAAGGGCAATGTGTTTATTCGGGGCCCCCAACCAGAACAGTGGAGTATTTGTCGAATTTAGGGCTTTATTGTCCCAAATATCACAATCCTGCCGATTATTGTAAGTTATTTTTATTTCAAAAATGGTGATTTTCTTATAAATAAATTTATTTTTAAGTGATAGAAACAGCCAATTGCGATTATGGCGATTTAACGGATTTATTGGTTAGTTTTAACAAAAAGACCAAGTTTGAAGAGGGGCTTATTTCAAAAGAATGTAAGTTTTTCTTATCCAAATATTATTACATATTTATTTCTTTTTTGTTTAGATGGCGAAGATGTTGAATTAACATTATCAAATAAAGATTCTTGCAAATATGAACCCCCATCAGAATTTTATAAATTTTCAGTTCTTTTAAAAAGAACCTTTTTACATCTTTATAGAGATTGGGTAAATATTAAAACAATATTAAATATCGTATAATTTAATTTAATCGAATTTAATTTCAGACAGTCACCCAACTAAGATTGGCTTTACACACCTTAATAGGCACATTTTTAGGGATAATTTTCCTAAATTATGGTAGTGATGGTTCAAAATCGGTTTCAAATGCTGGATTTCTTCTGATTACTAGTGCTTATTTAACATACACTGCAATGATGCCCGCTGTACTCAAATGTAAGTATCGCATCATAAATAATAGACAATAAAATGTTATAGTATATATACCATATATGTAATAGACAATATTGACCTGAAATTGGACATCATATTGTAGCACCTCGCAAGCGACCACGGCTTTATTAAGTGGATCTTTTGACTAATTAAGTCGAGATCGATTGCAGCCGAGAGTCTGTGATTAATATTATATCAATCCTAAAAACAAGTCATGATATTGTGGCACCTCGGCGTGGAGATATGTTTTAATTGATAATTATTTAAAATTTCATAAACATTTCTCAGTATTCGATTTTTCACGATCTGCTTTGTAAATGGGTGGAAATATAACAAACAAGAAATGCAGAATCAGTGTTTTAGAACTTAATATTATTTCATATGTATAGTTAATGCCAATAGAATGTTTAAATTAGATTGCAACATATTTTCAACTTTAATTTTCTTTGGTATTCACAATATGTGATGTACTTTTATTCCATCAGTAGTCGCCCAACATCGAAGGGTTCCAGCCACCTTGATAACAGTGATCCATCGTATCCATCGGGATGGCTTGAAAGCTCGTCACTGATGGCTCCCATATTTTTCAGGAAGCAATTATGGTGGGAGTATAAAAAGTGAATTTTAAGCGACATTCTACATCTCATATTCTTGTAGCTGTTCAACAATTCATTCATAATGGAAACACAGTTATCATCTTTCTGTTGCCCAAAAAGATGACCAAGCAACTAATGCAATATTTGTGACTTTGGTATCAAGACTAGTGTAATTTGTGAAACTTCATAAATATTTTCCAAGAATCCTAGAGAGTTCCTACTACCTTAAAATAAAAAAAACACAATTTCAAATAACAATAAAAAGCTACATGTGTTCCTCCCATGTGTCCTGATGTGGTCTTCTCGAAGCAAAATCTTGTGAAGGGATAGCGGACTGACAAACATTCTAGGAGTTTTGATAGGGTTGATCTTTAAGCGCCATATGAAAAAAGTTTTGCGTAGAATCGATCAATGTCTGCAATCTCAGAATCGTAAATTACAAGTCAGCTGTTTAGACACCCAGGGACACTTCCAGATTTCTGTTGTAGATATCCTGACTATTGAGATTATAGGGTGTTGAGGAGATAGGAAAACTCTGAAGGAGTTCTGCTGCGGATGATGAATTATCTGAAAAAAGTGATTTGTCAGGTTGAGCAGATAAAACGAGGTATTGAAATTATTCAGCTTGTATTGTTGTTGGTAGGTTTTTATGTCACACTGACTAAAACTAGTTTTGGACATCTAAAAAGCTAGGCATCAAGAGGTTATCTTTGGGAAGGGCCATTTGGAGGTTCGAATTCAGTACAGATGAGGATTGTAGATAAATTAGTAGAACTATCTTCCAATAAAATAAGATGGTAGAAAATATTTGTCTAGAACACATATAATGATGAATTTCTTCCAATAATAAGGGAGCAGGAATTCAATATGTTCCTGACACAGGAATGGATATTAAATTCAGTCTTCTTACAATGTTGTTGCTTGAAATTTATCTTTCAATAACTCAGCGTGGATCATGGCCATCTATCGAGGTTAGAGTGCAAAGAGTACCTTCCTTTGAGTCATAAGATACATCTTCTAAACCTCTGTAATCGCAATAAATATGCCCCTGATTTTGATGGAACTAACCAGCTCAACCAAACTTTGAAGGCATTTATTTCCATATAACTGAGGTTCTTCTTCTTTATATAAAGAGGTAACACCTAGAATGTTGATGCAGATTAGGTCAAGGATGTAGATTGTTTCCTCTATATTGATACGAAGAATTAATTCTTGGTTGCGGGAGGGAGGGGGGTATTGAAATTTCGCAATGAAATAATTATTAATACTATTTCATTGTATAATAATCTTATAAGATAGGGGCTTCAGAATTGTGAATCGGTTCGATAGAGGAAGGTTTTGACTGAAAGGTCATTTTGTGCATTAAACTGGAGCAAAAAATGTGGGACAATTTGTTGCATCTCTCACTTGTAGAACTATACGCTTGAATTAAAAAAACATATTGAGTATTTCGTGTAAATAGTATTCGTTTCAGACGGTTGAGGTGGTGTTGCAACAAAACAAATTAATTTTAATAATGTTAATTGTGTTGAATTATCGCCTAAATATTTCTTTAAGTCAATGCATCAAAAACTGAACTCGACCGAAACTTCACAGAGAGCACCGCATACCAAACTACTAGCTGAAATTATATTAAAGTTTTCATATAGGTAAAGTAAAAAGTTTGGGTTTCAGTACAATTTTTTATATAAAAATAAAGAAGGGAATTTTTAAATAGTTTAAATTAGGTAGAATTTGAAAGATTTCAATGACCACCTCTCTAAGTTTCAATGGATTGGGTTAATTTGATGTTTTATCGAATCTTTATTACTTACACTAAGTGTACTCAAATTCGGAAAAGCCAGATGCAACACCTCCAGCAGCTTTTCTCAAATTAATTTTTGTCCATCGTTACTGTTGTTTATGTGTTATTCTGCAAAGTTGAAAATTTAACATGACTCTACCATCCCTGCCAAAAGTCAAAGGCACTCACTTTAGAGATCAGTATCTTCGCAACCGCTCGATGACAAAAATTGTGGTAAAGTTTGTTGTAATTACTGAACATTTCTACATAACATATGTATGTGAATTTGAAAATTTTTGTCTTTGTGGTTTTCTTTTTATTGCATGTTAAATGAAGAAACTACACGATTTTTTGACGGTGTCGGCAACTTTGTCAACTTTTTTCTCAAAAACTATCTGATGCAAAAATATTAATTTTGAACAAGTGGTAGTCTGATGTGTCCTTAATAAGAGGCATATTTTATTTTTTCGATATTCCATATAGTTTCACAGAAAATCGAGGTTTAGTAGGAAACGGTTATGTCGAAAACGGCTGAGTGAAATAATTGAACGGATTCCGTTATCGCTTTTTCAAAGTTATGCTTCAATAATAATAAGTATAAATTAAAAAGAAACATAAATAAGCCATGCGGGGAGAAGAGGGTTCTATCGCGGCTTTATTTTACCTACATAAAGAAATGAAGGCGCGACGTCCAGTCTGGAATACACACCAGCAACATCTTTTCCGAAGCTTCCAAAATTTTTCATATCTTATTAGATTGTTGATGTTGAAGGTTTCACAAAATCGTCTCTGAGTACTTCGAGTTCATTTTCTTCATCCTAGTGATAGAAATATCGGGTGGGAGACTGTTAATTATTATTTATGAAAAGCTTCTGCGTTTATAGATCAAAACTGCATATTTAAATCGATAATATATGTGGGAACCACTCGGGACTGAGCGTTTGGGTTAATATTTGTTAAAACTTAACTTTTTAGTATCAATTTTAATTAATTAAAAAAATTAATTGAATTATATTTTAATTATATTTTTTAATTTATGTTTTAGTTCCTTTAGAACTTCCTGTAATAAAACGAGAACAATTCAATAATTGGTATAAATTAAGAACATATTACGCTTCATTTTTAGTGAGTCACATCCCAATTCAGGTAAATATTTTCTTTTTTTTATATATAATTAATTATATTTTTATAATTTTATATTTTTTAGGTGATATTTTGCATTGCTTACGCATGCGTGGCATATTTTCTTAGCGCCCAACCGGCTGAAGCTAATCGATTTTTTATGTTTGTCCTTATTTGTTGTTTAATATCGATATCAGCAGAAGGAATGGGAACGGTTTTAGGAACGGTTGTAAATCCCGTGGTGAGTTTATCTAAAAAATGAAGTGGCATTGAATGTTTTTTTATCATTTGGGTCAAGACTGTAATAAAATTTTTAAAGAAATTATCAATTAATAACAATAATAAGTAATGAAATTATTTATAGTAATAAATTTGTTTTTTTTAGAATGGGACGTTTATTGGTGCCGTAAGTTGCGCTGTGATGATCGTTGTTGGTGGATTTCTTTGTTTCTATCCGCATATGCCTAAAGTATTCTACATAATGTCTTATTTCTCGTATATATCTTACGGAACCGAAGCTTTCATGCAAATCATTTATGGATTTGATAGGCCCGCTTTACCATGTCCTTCCGAAGAAATTTATTGCCACTATAGGGTGCCGCAGAGATTATTAAAAGAAATGGGGATGGACAAACCTACCTTTTGGGAGAACGTACTTAGTCTTTGCATTTTTGTAGTGGTTTTTCGAGTGATGGCCTTTTTAACGCTCAAAAGGAAACTTTCGTAACAATAGTCGATATTAAGGTGTGATACTAGAATAGTTTAAATAATTATTTAATTTATGACTTAACGATTATTAATAATCTCATTATGTACCTAGTTTTTTTGTTATAAATTATTACTTAACTAAAAAAATTTTTAAATTTACTTACTTATTTAAAAAGATTCTCCATCGTTGTCGTTTTTGTGTATTTGTTTGAAGAGTATAGGTTCCACAATAGCATACTGTCACACGCACAAGAGATAATATAGCTAATCTTGTGCTGCGTCCAGCAGCTACAGTGAGCGCCTGTTTGTGGATTTCTTCATCGGATTTTAACTTTTTCTTATTGAAGCAGTTATTGATAGTTAATACCGTATAATATAAGAGAAATTTTGAATAAGTTAACGTTGCGTGACGTTTACGTAGTAAGGGAAGTGGTAGACCTGTTCCTATGAATTATGGAGCACCATCTGTTCTTCCCCACACACACAAAAGTTATAATTACAAGACGTGCGATTGTGGTTGACCCACATTGGTCTTTGAATTATTTAAATTATATTTTAAAGCAATAACTTAAGAAATCAATCATTGACTAAAAAGACGATTCGAAACAATAATTAAATCGGGAACAAAAATGGTGAAACGAATTGTTTTGATTTAGTTTAGAAGAAAGAATATTTGTTGAAAAAAGGATTGTTGTTAATAATTTAAGATATGTTTTGACTTACCATTGTGCACCTTATCAACTACCGACCATTGTTCCCTAGTGTTCCTAGGACACTGTCTCACCCATCGATATCGATACACTACTCGATGTTTATAGGTTTCATCTGCTTATAAAGGGGGATGTGATTACCCCCACCATGTTACAACCCCTCATAGTCAACGATAATTGTATAAAAATTCCGCATTCAGGGGCTTTACTTGTTATGCAAGTAAAAAAATTCTTTTCATCCTTATTTAACAATTTATTAAAATCTGATTAAATGCAATAATTTCTACAAAAATATTCATTTCGCAATATATCCTAACTATTCGGATCAATCAAAAAGTGTCGGATTTAAAGCGCTTCAAATCAAATAATAAGCAAAGACTTTTAATTAATTAGAGTAAAAATTTATTAAAATAAATCATAATTATGACACAGATGATAATTCCGGAAGAAGACATAATAGAAACGGAAACTCTGTGTTATAACGAAAGATAGAGACGTGACACCGTTGACGAAGAAGCTACAAAAATTCCCCGTCTTGTTTTACTATGTTATAGGATTACCGTGGAAGCCGTATAGGGCGATGACGGTGGCGTGCCGTTATTCGAAACTTAATTTATACGAACGTTTAGGGACCGGAAGGTATTTACAGGGTGAATAATAAATTACAGTAAAATTAAAAAAATTTAATGTATAAATTTATTTCTTATTATTAATATTTATTAATTATATTTATTATTATTTGTTGTTGATGATTTAGTAGACGTGAACCCGTCACAGGCAGAAATTAGTTCAATAACACACAACTTCCGCCCATGGCTTGGCTAGTCTCCAAAACCTCCCGAAAAATTAATGATGATTTTCTTCAAAATCGTTGAAACGTTGTTTAAAAAGTAAAGATCGGCTAGATATGTATTAAAAATTATCGAACTGAATTCTTAGTACCAACCTAGCCGATCGTCACTTTTCAAGGCCTCTTTTGAGCTTCTAATTGGATTGCGGCAATCCTTGCATATATCGACCGTGGTTTCAGGGCCCCACGAGTCGCTTCAACTTTTTTCATTTTCAGGAAGAAAAAAAAACGATGCCTAATTGATAGAATATTGAAGATAGCCACCGCTTCGGACCGAACCCTAAAGGGTAACGACCAATGCGCCTTTCTCTACCGGAATCCAACGTCGTCGTCTCGCCGAGGACACTATTCTTAGCCCTCCAAGTTAATTTTAGCGCACCGTATATAGGTTAACTTCTGTTTCACGCTTGCGCCTTCCCCAAACGCTTTCCTGTATGACGTCATTCTGGATATGGATGTATTCACGAACCGTTCTACATTCAATGTAGCACAGCAAAAAAGAAACATTTACCCCACAACTAATTCAAATTAATTTTTCTTAACCTCATCAAAACTATTTTTATGGTATACATTTTTCAAACACAATTGAAATCAATTAAATGATAATTCCCTCACAAAAGAGCATAAAGATTTAAGCAATTTAAATCGGATTATAAACATGTATTGTTGGAAAATAAAATTCCAGAAAAGACTTTCAACCCCCGCAATATTCGCGTGGGGGCGCAGTTTATTTGCGAACTGACCTTCCATAAAATCCGTGTAGGTGTCTTTGATGTTGTGACGGTTTTGTAAAATACCCCTACGTTCTTTAACAACACGTGTTCGAACACACCGAGGAATTCAACTTCAAAATAAAAATTCCCAGAATTATATCGAATATAATAATAATACTGTGAATTTGCCACCCACTTCAATACGTAGTCGCGAAAAGAAATAACTCGGGATGCAACGAAATCCGTAAACAAGTTGTTATCGTTTTCTAGCGCCTCCACCAATTTTATATTTTTCTTGGATTTTTTATTTATAGAAGCAAGGTCAATTTATCGATATATCATATAACATTATTTTTTAATAAAATTTATAAAAAATAACAAATTAAATTACTTTTTAGATTTACAATATTCATAATTAATAATTTAAAAACTAAAACATTCAAAAAAATTTAATTTATTAAGAAAGAAACATTAAAAACTTATGCGCAATGTACAAAACTGATCGTATGATTTATAACGAGCAAAGAGATATACAGCGCGCGTTTAAAACTTTTGTACATAAAACTACCAATTTCTCCTAACCTTTATTATAACATTCCTACCCTCACTTTATCTTTGTTATTACTTTATAATACACACAACCATTTAAAAAAATTAAAAATAAACAATCCCGCCTCCTCCACCAAAACTTAACACCGACCAAAAACTTTCAAAAACAAATTTACTGAATAAAAGTAATTATAAAATATCCCTACCTTGGATTGTATCGATGGGAAAAATTGTTTGGGGAGTTATTTTTTGAGTTGTTCCATTTAGAGCGTGATGGTCTGTTCATTCCAACGATGGGCACAACACTGAATCTAGATCGAGATGAATCTGCTGTGCCGCCGAAACGCGGTATCAGCCCGAGTTGAATGGAGGTCGACGTCGATTGGTCCTACACTCTGACGTCATCACATTGATTGTCAAACTATCACGTGTTCGAAAATCCCGCAGGAAACGATTCTGCTCCGCCCTCCTCCCCATAGGGTTCACCAACAAACCGCTCTATTTTGCAGGTATAGTTATTAAACATTCAAAATAAAAAAAAAAATCATTTCCAACACGTAAATCAATCAAAAAAGTTTTACAAAAATAAATTATTTGTTACAAAAAAATGATGCCTTTGAAAATTTTTGATTAGTTATTTCATGTTGTTGATAAAAGTATTATTAAAAAAGTTCTAATTCGCGTTGTTTAGTTGGTTAAGATGCATTTACCCTGGTTACAGAGCGGTATGACGTCATAGTGTTGGTAGGGAAGTGGGGGCGCGTCGATACTTGTTGCAAAGTGTGTCAGCGTTTGGGGCAAATTGGGTCACAGAGGACCGGAGCAGCACTGGAAGGTCTATGACCTCCGCGGTTCAATATACCTCTGGTTTTATCAATGTACTAGTGCGTCATTCCCTATGCCCAGCCTCTGTATATAGGCTTACACACCTGCAGCAACCCCCCTCTTTCATCCCCAAACTCTTAGTTCAAATTATAATTGCTTATTTTTTCACCACTTCAAATACATCAAAAAAATTTTAATTGAAAATAACTATGTTTGGAATTAATTAATAATCCGAAATGTAGAAGCTAAATGTTTTGCGTTTTAGTTAGCCACATGGTCTTACTTATGAGATTTTGACAAGTCTTAAAACTTTGTATCAAACAATCTAAGAACTTGAGAGACTTAGATCCGATTAATTACTATATTTTCTGGTTAAGCTAATAATGGAAAAGCTTTCATTAGCTAATTGTTGGATTTATCAATCATCTAAGTTTGAAATATTTTCTACCTAATTTGTAAGAAGTCCAGAGTATTTTTAAGGTAAGGTTATATTTGGTGTTTTAACAGTTAAGTGTTGATATTAGGCTTAAGGTTGAGTTCTATCCACTTTCAGAGTTGATCAGATTCGGGCAAAACCATTTCGTAATTATTCTAAATGAAATGCTTAGAGGGTTACTGATTTCTATAAACTTTCAAGGAATCAGATTTCTTCGCTATCTGCAAGAGTAACTGTCATAAAGCTGAATTTCGACGAGATTTCAATTTTACTCACAACACAACCTTCTTGCGGTGCCCTTGGTAGTAAAAGACCTGGTAGCCATTCATAGAGTATCATTAATAGTTGAAATAAATACACCTAAACATATATTTGTATGCTTGTCCGTCGGATGCTTTATTATGGTGGTAATTTTTTGGCACTACTTGATAAATGGCCGAGAAGAAGCAACATCCGACATTTTTGGATACGTAATTGCAAAACACATGTTCGAAAAATATGTCTAAGTGATAAAATTCCAATTCCATAAAATGTCCAGATTGACTTCTATGATGATTTTTGTAGACAGCAATAATTTGGCAGCTTACCAGAAATTTATTTAGTGCTGGAAACGGTTATGCTGAAAGTTTTTCCGATACTTTCACGGTCAATAATGTTTTTAACATAGTAATGATGTCTTTCTTGGCTGTTTCTAAGGTTATTTTCTGCATGTATACTTGATTGTTTCATTATTCGCGCACTTTTTCGACAGTCTAACTTTTATGGAATACTCTGAAAACTTTGAATTTATATTCTTTTTAAAAAACTGCTAAACTCACATAGTCGTACTCACATTCCGTTAACAATTGTGTCTAATAGATAAATCCACGAATATGGAAACGGGTTTCTGTAATCCCTGAAACAAGAAGTTGACACAAAAGTTGTCACCCTATGTATGTACTTTTGCTGAAATTTGTTTTATGATTGAAAAATTTTAGCTCTGCTTTTGGATTATGTTATATGGGCCCAATTTATGGCATTTTCCATTA